CTGACAAGCCGAGAGTGGCTACTAAAAAATAATGGACATACCCCATATTGAATACCCTGGGTTGTCTACTTTAAAAAAAATATGTACATGTGAGGTGTGATTCAGAGATTTATGACAGATAATATTGTTACAATGTCACTACTGATACATTTTTAAAATATATATTATAACTTGCAAAAAAAAAAACATGTAAACACTGAAAGTTTTTAAACTCAGGACAAAATTGTGAATCTATTTAGCAGGTTTTTTTTTCATTAGCTTTTGTAGATAAGTAAAAGATTTTTCAAGTAAAAGTAAAAAAACATGTTTTTTTTTAATTTTTCACTGTATTTTTTTTTTTTTTTTAAAGTAAATTATATGACATGAGAGAAATAATGGTATGTAAAGAAAGCCCTTCTTGTCCTGAAAAAGAAAACAATATATAATTTGTATGGGAACAGTAAATGAGAGAGAGGAAAATTACAGCTAAACACAAACACCACAAAAGTGTTAAAACAGCCCTGGTCCTTAACGTACAACATGGCCAAAACAGTCCGGTCCTGAAGGGGTTAAAGCCATCATTGTTTATTTGGCTCATTTTCGTGCACATAGAGATACATTACAAAGCTATTTCATGCAGCTGTTTTCATTTAGCACACTCATGTTCCCCTGTATGGGCTCTCCCTAATGGGGAATAGGTGACAGTCTGCTAATTTACACTTTTGTCCTAAGGAGATGCTGTAAAACCGAAGTGTATTTATTTCCTTGCAGACAGAAACAGTGCGATGTGTACTGTAACGCTCTGTTTGCAGCCAAGTATGTGAGTTTGATTTGCAATCTCTCCACTGATCTCATGTTTACCTAAAAACACGATTCCTTCCTGGTGATTTGTGGGAAGCATACAGCAATACGGGAATAAAACAAACTGTGGCTTTTAAAAGTTTGTAGCTAGATATAAATACAAACACAACCAAAGGCAATATATCCACCGAGACCAGTATATAGGGTCCTATGTTATGTGCTTAGACAGGAGGTAGAGGAGTAATATGGCAGCTGAGGGAACCATACATAAAACGTGTTTTTGGACCCTCACCTAAGCCAATATCTCACCCTCTCCTGACACTTACAAGTAAGATCCCTGGCAATGCAGTGGGTGCTTTGCTACACTATCTATATTAAAATATTTTATATCAAATTAAATAACGTTCTAGCAGCAAAACCCAGTGGGAAATTATTTCATGCCAGATGAGATTCTTGCAATTCTGGCTGCTCTGAGGTTTAAAACTATGTTTGTACTAACATAGGGGGCCAATCAAGGCGCACATTAGGCCTTCCCTATAGGAAAGCGTTAAATCGATGCTTTCCTATGAGGTTTTCCTTGACACGGGATGTCCTCATGCAAGGAGGACGTCCTCACGCAAGACTGCCACTAGAGGCAATCTTAACCCTGCAATGTTAACATTGCAGTCTCTCTAAAACTGCAAAGTTTTACATTGCAGGGTTAAGGGGACAGGGACATCTCACCCCAGAAAATTCGGTCTGGGTGCCTACAGTGTCCCTCAGGATGCTATCAATATTGATTGGAACCTGGGCAAGCATTTGCTTAAGCCCCCTGAAAACCCCCCTTTCCCCACATCCTGGCATGCAACTCCAACAATGCTTTGACAGCTGGGGCTCTACCTTTTTGTGTGTTTGAATGCAAGCCTGTTTGGTATGGAGTATGTTTGTGTAAATATAAGGGTTTGTTTGTATGCGGTGATGGTGTTTGAATGCAAGCATGCATTTATGAATGCAGAGGTGTGTTTTTATATAATTTTGGCGTTTGATACAGAGAAGTTGTTCTCTAAAAGAAGTTGTTGCGGGCAGAGGGCAAATTAGGCAGTTGCTTTAAGCCTTCCCAGGAGTAACTGGGCCCGAAGCAGCTGCCCCATTAGCCCCTCGTTAAAATCGGCCCTGGTTTCCCTTACGATCATTCATGCTGCAGTAAAGCCAGCAAAGGAGAAGAAAATAGCAATCTCAGTATTCTATAAATCACGTGAATTTTTGCTGGGAAACAGTTGAAATGTGTGAAACCACACCCTTTCCCTGCCTGACGTGACCTTCTTAATGGGAGACCATCTTGTTAAGATGCAGAACCTCTTGAGAGTCAAGCCATTTTCAGGGCTGTTCAACCCATTTTTGTCTGTATGAAACCTTCCTGTTTCCACAAGATTCATTTGAGAAAAGAGGATCTAAACATTCCTAGGTACGAGGGTGGTAGGCCAGGAACATAGGCTTTAGAGCCTCCTAGTCTTGTTTAAAGCCATTGCAGTAGAATCCTTTGCGTAGCCAACCAAGAATCTCTATTTGGGAGACACAGTCCATACTTTGGGCCCAAATCCCTCTGTCCCTCTTTTCTAGGAGCTCCTTATTGTTGATGTGTCTGAGTGTATAGCAGTGCTCCACAGCAATAATACTCACAGTAATGTGTCTTTAAACTACAATAAACGTGTTTAGAAATCAGTCTGTGTAAATAGTTTACATAGTTCTTGTTAAAATTAATATTTTAGTTACATAAATTGCAATTATTAAGTCGCCTAATATTTCTCATATTGTTAGGGTGGAGCAAGGGTTAAGAGGAAGCCTTTACTGTAAGGAAAGCACTGGGACATGCATGTGCCAGAGGTGTCAGAGACAGGTGCATAGAACTCGAGATGGAAGGATTTCCCCAAATAAATAGCTCAGTTAGCAGACATTTGACTGTTAGAGTAGGACCTGCCAAAGATGGGGTACATTGACGTTGTGGCAGGCTTATGTATGATGTAACTAAACCCCCATTATTTTTTGCCTAGATTAGGTGTTTTTAATAAAACTAGCAAAATCGGTCAACACCAAAGTAGCTGTTTAGTAGATAAGGGAGTGCAGTGGATTTTAATTTTTACTGAGATTAGTGGGAGTCACAGTTCTAATTGGAAGCTATTTCAGCATTTGTAATTAGAATGGTGGCTGTTACTCTTTAGCAGCGTTATCTCAAGCGGACTGGGACCTCCAGGAGACCCCCTAGTAGACCGCCAGCATTATGCTCAATATTCTCGCTCACTTAATATTGATTGGCGAGATATATATGCGCACATATTGGGAGTTTTACTAATTTATCACAGGCGAGAACATTTAAGAATGCGTGGTATAAATAAAGCAATTTTTAATACTTTCTTGTCATATTATTCCTATGTTTCTATTGCTGCTTCAAGCTAGTCTGAGGACCACACATTAAGATTTCATGCTTGTGCTCCATGATAAGTATATATTGTTTACAGAGAGGCCAAACTGAAAAGTACATTCAATACTAAGGCAAAGCAAATGCTGAATTGTAATGGAAGGCCTGCCGTGAAGCCTAAACGTGTTTCATTCCACGATGGGGGAGCGGAGGGATCAATGTTTTTCTACCTTTGTGGAAATTGATTATGAAGTGGTCATGGTGTTCTTGCCTACTTTTTACTTAGTGCTCTTTTACTTTGACATTTGAGAACAGACATATTTGAACGACTCTATACAAACCTATTTAGAATAGGAAGGCGATATATACAGTGTTATTGAGACTCTTGGGAAACAACATATACTACCACCAAAGAAATTCACAGTACAGCTGGAAGGGACACTCACGAATTGAACTAAAGTTTATCTTCCACTTCCTTAACTTCTACAATAGTTTAGTGTACTTAATACATTTACGTAGTGGTCTTCAGATATTTTGTGCTATACAGCTATCCCATGTGGATGGCAGTAGACGCTAGTATGCAAGATTTTTCTTTTTCATTAAAGTGGTCCTGTCATGTTGTTTTTCTTTTGTTTATTTTCCTTTTTTATGACCCTGTATTGTAATGATTATACTCCTACCCTTGCCAGTTGCTCATATTTATATATATATGATCTTGCCTTCCTTGTGCTTGAGCTCAATACCTGGGTGCAGCCATTTTGCTTCCCTCTGCCCGTGATGTCTACTGTTTGTCCTTCTGAGATATACATTTTACTGATGGATTGTGGGTACATTTCTTTGGCATCTGAATAAGAACCCTGCTTAAGCTCTGCCCATTGTGATGTTTTATCAACGTGACTGCTATACATATGGATTAAGTAGTCCCTATACCAAAACCCAACCCTAAGTGAGCCTTGCCTCCCTAGGGTAACAAAAATGGTTCTTAAACTTCCAACACAAATGACTGATGTGAAATAAAACAGGTGCATGCTCTACAGCAGGGGTGCCCAAAGGTAGATGCCCAAATATTTTTTGGACTACATCTTCCATAATGCTTTGCCAATATTTTGTGCGGACAAAGTCTTACGTGATTTGTCATTCTACAACATCTGATAATCTACCTACTGGATAGCCCCGTCTCTAATGTTTACACTGAATGTGCATCATACATATATCTACATATTATTTTAATTAGAATTCCCTGTCAATTCGTCTCCCCTGATATTTGTATTCCCATCAATTTTAAAGAGGGTTATGAGTACAGGTCTCAAAAGAGTCGACCTCTGTCAGTGTGTTTTGTGCATCATATTTGTTATTGCAAATAGAAAGCCTAAAGAAGAAAAGATTGCTATTAGTCCAAATTGGCAGATTAATTGAAATACGTTAAGACGAGATGGGGAGCTCAAGGGCTGTAAGCTAGGTCAGAAAAAAAAATCTTCTAATATGATGTATTGTATTATAACCTACTTAACCGGGTGGGCAAGGATATTCACTCGCAGACTTGTGTTAAAATTATCCCTTTCCTCAACTCCATTTACACGAGTTTTGATATCCAACACAAAACCCAATAGATTTTATTTATTATATTTATCAAAGCAATACAAGTGCTGCTCAGGGCTAAGTGCTAAACTTAGAATAGCAGCTTTTTGATTTTGACAAGTATGTCATTTGGGACTAGTGATGTCCCGAACGGTTCGCCGAACGGTTCACTGCGGACGGACATATGCGCTGTTCGGTCCACCCCCTATGTCATCATTGAGTAAACTTTGACCCTGTACCTCACAGTCAGCAGACACATTCCAGCCAATCAGCATCAGACCCTCCCTCCCAGACCCCCCCACCTCCTGGACAGCATCCATTTTACATTCATTGTGAAGCTGCATTCTTAGTGAGCTGTCCAGGAGGTGGGAGGGTCTGGGAGGGAGGGTCTGCTGCTGATTGGCTGGAATGTGTCTGCTGACGGTGAGGTACAGGGTCAAAGTTTACTCAATGATGACGAATAGGGGGCGGACCGAACAGCGCATATGTTCACCGTCCGTGGCGAACCGTTCGGGACATCACTATTTGGGACTAGATAAATGGAACCATTCCTCATGGTACTAACAATCCAAAATTCAGAGGCACACTAACAATTCCCTAAAAAGCTGATTATGTACTTTTTTGTGCAAAAAAAAAAAAGAAAATTTAAGCAGATTTCCCATGCCTTACAATACCCATGAAAATTAAGGCTGTGTTTTTTTTTTTTTCTATGTTCTTTTCTCATATTACTAGGTGCAACATTTTAACGATAAGTGAAATCCATGGATTTTTCATGCAAAAGTCATGTATACTGTGAGCAACACCCTCTCAATTTTCTTGGGGTTCGGCAAAGACATTCTGTGGAAAACGAGCAGCATAAGAAAATGAACAAAGGCATGTCTCTGCAACATCTGCATAGAATTAAAAATCTTAAAAATGCAAACCACACGTTACACTTTTTTTACTTTTGGTGTTAAATTGCGATGTTAAGTGAACAGTCCATTAGTTATTCTATGGTGTCTACTCTAGTTATTATATGATGCAACTAAACTCTACCTCTCTCTGTGGCTTAGAGGGCTTGGAGAGATAGACATTGTACCATGGCATTTTATTGAAGGATATGAATGTACCAGTAACTCTTATATATTCATAGCAACCTCTTTTAATGTGGTCACCTGTATGAATTCAGCAATACATTTCCAATATTTAGATCAATAATCAATAATGCCTACTAGTACAGACAGGTATCGAAGCTTGCTAACGTTTTTTTTTTTTTATCTACCCAATTTCTTCTTTCTCGTTTTGTTTCTAACCGGGAATTATATTTTATGAGCTAGCTTTGCATCTATACATTCTGTGGTTGAAATAAATGTGACACAGGTGCATTCATGCAAATAACGTTACTATGACACACAATGAAGTGTCAGGAAAATAAACATATAAAGCGTCTGTTCACTGGTTGTAATGCTCCAGATGTGTATAGGCTGGCCTCCTAGATGGCGTGTGATGTTAGCATGAGTTGCTAAACGCCTTGAACATCGATTTCTGAATTTGTTGAAGAGCAATGAGCAGGAAGTGCAACTAACACTGGAATGTTATATAAAATATCTGTCAATCCAGCTGTGAAATTGTAGAACATTAACGTAATGATGACGGGGGAGGTAAGTGTTTTTGTTTTATGTTCTGCTGTCACTAAATGAGGCTTTCCCTAAAAACTCTGCATGGACGATTCTGATGCTTTGCCATTATTACAGGAAAATTGTCATAATTGTTTTCTTAATAATGAAAATAAAAGATTCCAGGTATTAATACTACTCTTGTGAGTTAAGTCCTCTTTGGTCAGAAGTCTTATTTCCCCACCATGAGGATTGTCAGGATTTGAAAATGTAGTCCCGTAGTTTGTAGCATTTCTTCGCTGTGGGGTTTGCGTGATTTATTTATTATGTGATTTATTACATGCAGCATTTCCTGTCTTCATACTACAGGGAAACCCTTTCCATGTGTTCATATTAATTTGTGTAAGTAATATGTCCTGGAAAAACATGGTGTATATACCATACCTAGTGCTAACTCTCCTAACGCTAACTCTTACCTGCATAGTCTTAAAGTGACACAAATTACTTTCAATTTTTTTATTTCCTAACATGTTTTATTTTGGGCAAATTCAAAGAATACGCATGTTACTACTGAACACACCCCACATTTGTATTCTGTTCCTGATCTCTAGTACAGTGATACCCATATGTATACCTTTTCTCTAATCCTGCCGTTAACTCTACCCCTAATCTTGTCTCTAATCCAAACCCTAGTCCAACACTTAACCCAACCCTTAATCTAACCCTTAATCCAACCCATATTCCAACCCACAAACCAGCCTGAAATCCAATCCATAAACCAACCTCTAATCTTAACTAGAATCCAACCCATAAACCCACCCTCTAATCAGTACTGTCATCAGCAGAGGGGTTTTCTAACTCACATTGTTCAAAAGGCTCTGTGAGAACTCGTAGCAGGGCTGGGAGACCGTAAATGTATTTGGCCACATTTGAAATCCGTATTTAAATTCATGTAAAGAACTATGTGCAGTGCTCACTTTGAGTGCGGCACATAGCTCTTCTGTCATTCTGGGGCCACTAATTGTGGCCCCAACTAACAGAGGAGA